TTGTGACTATATCTCGCAATTGTGACTTTATATCTCGCAATTGTGACTATATCTCGCAATTGTGACTTTATATCTCGCAATTGTGACTATATCTCGCAATTGTGACTTTATATCTCGCAATTGTGACTATATCTCGCAATTGTGACTTTATATCTCGCAATTGTGACTATATCTCGCAATTGTGACTTTATATCTCGCAATTGTGACTATATCTCGCAATTGTGACTTTATATCTCGCAATTGTGACTATATCTCGCAATTGTGACTTTATATCTCGCAATTGTGACTATATCTCGCAATTGTGACTTTATATCTCGCAATTGTGACTATATCTCGCAATTGTGACTTTATATCTCGCAATTGTGACTATATCTCGCAATTGTGACTTTATATCTCGCAATTGTGACTATATCTCGCAATTGTGACTTTATATCTCGCAATTGTGACTATATCTCGCAATTGTGACTTTATATCTCGCAATTGTGACTATATCTCGCAATTGTGACTTTATATCTCGCAATTGTGACTATATCTCGCAATTGTGACTTTATATCTCGCAATTGTGACTATATCTCGCAATTGTGACTTTATATCTCGCAATTGTGACTATATCTCGCAATTGTGACTTTATATCTCGCAATTGTGACTATATCTCGCAATTGTGACTTTATATCTCGCAATTGTGACTATATCTCGCAATTGTGACTTTATATCTCGCAATTGTGACTATATCTCGCAATTGTGACTTTATATCTCGCAATTGTGACTATATCTCGCAATTGTGACTTTATATCTCGCAATTGTGACTATATCTCGCAATTGTGACTTTATATCTCGCAATTGTGACTATATCTCGCAATTGTGACTTTATATCTCGCAATTGTGACTATATCTCGCAATTGTGACTTTATATCTCGCAATTGTGACTATATCTCGCAATTGTGACTTTATATCTCGCAATTGTGACTATATCTCGCAATTGTGACTTTATATCTCGCAACTTTATATCTCGCAATTGTGACTTTATAACTCACAATTGAGAGTTTATATCACACAATTCTGAGAAAAAAAAAAAGTCAGAATTGTTATAAAAAGTCACAATTACCTTTTTTTTTATTTTTTTTATTCAGTGGCGGAAACGGGCTTCCATAGCATATGGAAAACAAGTCCTTCTGAGGAAAAGATTATGTTCATGAATTTCACTGGGAACGATCATATCACTGCTGTCCACCAGAGGGAGCCACGGGAAATAATCGAATAGACTTTAGAACAAAAATGCACATTTATTCTAGTTGATTATATAGTTCAGCATAATCAGTTTGCAAAGAAATCTGTGATCTCCAAAAGACGTAAAGGTCATGAAATGTTACCATAATTTTTATAAATCCTAGCGATATTGAAAACACTTTGGTCTAGTTGCCAGACTCCTCTGTGTCTGTCAAGTTAACACACAAGAGACTATATTATTTGTGGCTTTTAGCATAACGCATAGAACAATAACTGCATAAAAAGTCATTATTTGCAAAAAGACATGTCATTGTATGGCTGAAAATATTTTTCTGTTTTTATTGAATATTAGCTTATATGTTTAGTAATGTGTGTGTTTAATTTTTTTTATTTAATGTTCGTTTCACTTCCACAAATTACTTTCTTAGCAGATGCTTGACAAAAGCAACGTTCGTTTTCAAAGAATTAAAATCTCTTCTTAGCAGAATGCATTTAAAATCAGAATATATGAACTATAACACTGCAGATGTTTCAAGAACGCGAACACAAAATAATGCCAAAGCTGTTTAATATTAAATTCCGCCTCGCATTCTGAAATACAAACGATTCAAATCAAGGATATCAATGAAATCAACACACAGAGGAGGAACCTGAGGGTAATCAGAATGGCATAACCTAACCAAAATGATTTTTTTTTTTTTATAGAAATAATCATATAAAGAGTCATTAAAAACATCCATGACAAACAAAATCCGGAAAGTGAAATAAAACCGCAGATTTGTGTTAAGGATCTACTGTTAAGCTGCACAAACTAAAACCGCTTTAATCTAGTGAACTCAAAATAAAGAGTGTCCACCGATTCTCTTCAAGAAGGATGTTTATCTCTTCATCATGTGACTTTACTTTTCTCAAGCACAGGAATGAATACAAACGGATGCAAATAAATAAATGAGCTTGTGAGAAGCGCTGGTTGACCTAACGCCTGGCGTTCAGTCACAGATTGTAACAGTGATTTGCTGAGAGGAACAGACTGTGAAAGCTGAAGCAGTCCTCCGCTCTGGGAACACACTGGCTCAGATGCTCCTGGTTCGGCCGCTGTGTTGCGTTACAAAGGGACGTGACTGAAGAGATACGACACTGACTCGCCGTTGTGGGTCCTGCGGATGGCCTCGGCAAGGATCATGGAAATGTCGATGACCTGCGGAGATCAGCCAGCTTAGCATGAAAGAGAATCTGCATCATACCAAGCCAAACGGAGAAGACAGCTCTGTATCACACGGCATGCAGGTTGTTCTGTTTCTAGGCTGCGTTCTCCTCTAAACCTGTGACTGTGTTTCTCGGCTGATTCTTGATGCGATCGCAGGCAGCAAAGCAAAGTTGATTCTGTGATCTAATATTTAACGAGTTTTAAAATGGTATAGATTAGGGATGCACCGAAATGAAAATTCCTAGCCTGAGCCGAACAGAATGAAACACTGGGCCGACTACCAAACATTGTTTTTCGCGGTTTTTTCCCCATGCATTTTGGCTATTATTTTTTTACCATTGCAGAAATTAAATACCCAAATTTTACTTTGTACTGTTTTTGTCTTGCTTTTCAAAGGGAAAAAAAAAATCAATTACAAAAAAAACTATTTAAAAATAGTTACTTAACACTGAACATTTTTTTCTAAACATTCTAGCAGACATTACACCAACAAAGCACAATTTAACTTAACATTAATAAGTTAGTAAAATAATTGTTTTGGTAATATTTGAGACCCGCGTCTTGACTCAGGCATGTATTTTTTACTGTACAAATAAAAGCAGCCTTGCTGAGCAGAAGAGACTTCTTTTAAAACATTAGAAAATATTACAGATCCCAGATACAAATCTATTACAGATTTGAACACTGTGTGAATGTTATAATACATGTATTAATAGAGCTGTTGTCATTATTATTGTCTTTTTAATTTTATTTTACAAAACAACGGTAAAATTACAATACTAACATTTATGAATGTTAATGAAGCTTGTATTTTGGCAGGAAGTCCCCAGTGCTTCTTTTTGTTGACAGCAGCAGATTTATAAATGATTCTCATTAAGAATTTTTAAGCATTGATAACATTTATTGACTATATTTTGAGATAAAGGTCTCGCTAATGATTTTCAGTTTTGTTCAAGGAAATTAAATCAACAGTTTTTCAATAATTCAGTTACATATACACAAGTATGGTATTCGTGGTAAAATGCACCCCTGCTGTTGGGACTAAAAGAATAATTGTCATTATAATATATACCTTGCTGACTTTTCCATTTCTTTTCCATAATATTTATTAAACTGGGCGGCCGATTTAGAGATAATTAGTGTATTTATAATGAAACTATTACATTTTAAAATATGATATTAATATATTTACTTTTTTTTATATATATTTATATCTTAGCCACTAGAATTTTTCTATATCTTTATCAAAATAAACCGAAAAATGTACAAACTTTTTCATGAACAAGTATTAACTTTTTGGCATCATGCAATACATATTACCCTAGCTTAAGTATTTTTTACCAATACTGGGTCTCTTTTACTCCTCACCACTGTATACATTTATAAGATTTCTAAACACAAACCACTTTTGTCTACAAAACACGCTCTTTCAATGTTCAATTTTTAAAAAATTACAAAAAGAAAACATGATGAAAGTAGTAAAAAGTAATATATTGTCATTATAGTGTTACTTTAGCCCTTTAAGGAAAATAAAATAAAATGCATCTTTTGCATCTCCTGTGTAAAACACCTTAAAAATAACATTTAAAAAATAACTAAACAGTTTTGCCGTTATTGGACTAAATTCTCTTCACTTTGGGGGGAAAAAAAGACTATTCTATGCTGCTTCAATACAGACACAGAATTATGGGATGATATTAGACTCTAAATGATTAATAGATGCACGCACAATTATCCATGTACTGCATACATTTTATACATGTATCTTACTAACCACAAACAAATACCTTTCAATTTGAGTCTGTGGAATTCGGGATTAAATGATTGTGCAGCGATTTGTACAAATACAGACTTGTTTGTGAATAAAAATGTTCTGTTCTGCATTAATATATCATAAATTGCTCATGCAAAAAGGAATCCGTGCATATGTGGATCAGGTGACACGCGTGCATTAACTGACGTCATTTGGATTTTGAGACTTAATTTTCGCAGTTTACAGCATTTCACGTCCCTCACACACACAACTACCAACGAACAAGGCCCAGTGCAATTCATTAACGTGTACACGATTTGAAAAAATCGCAAATGTGCGTCACTACACTAAAACAAATGCTTTTCAACCGGTGTCTGCAGAGTTAAGAATTACATTAATGTGCAGCATTTTCTCGCAATTGTGACTTTATATCTCGCAATTGTGACTATATCTCGCAATTGTGACTTTATAACTCGCAATTGTGACTTTATATCTCGCAATTGTGACTTTATCTCTCACAATTGTGACTTTATCTCGCAATTGTGACTTTATATCTCACAATTGTGACTTTATATCTCGCAACTTTATATCTCGCAATTGTGACTTTATCTCGCAATTGTGACTTTATCTCGCAATTGTGACTTTATATCTCACAATTGTGACTTTATATCTCGCAACTTTATATCTCGCAATTGTGACTTTATAACTCACAATTGAGAGTTTATATCACACAATTCTGAGAAAAAAAAAAAGTCAGAATTGTTATAAAAAGTCACAATTACCTTTTTTTTTATTTTTTTTATTCAGTGGCGGAAACGGGCTTCCATAGCATATGGAAAACAAGTCCTTCTGAGGAAAAGATTATGTTCATGAATTTCACTGGGAACGATCATATCACTGCTGTCCACCAGAGGGAGCCACGGGAAATAATCGAATAGACTTTAGAACAAAAATGCACATTTATTCTAGTTGATTATATAGTTCAGCATAATCAGTTTGCAAAGAAATCTGTGATCTCCAAAAGACGTAAAGGTCATGAAATGTTACCATAATTTTTATAAATCCTAGCGATATTGAAAACACTTTGGTCTAGTTGCCAGACTCCTCTGTGTCTGTCAAGTTAACACACAAGAGACTATATTATTTGTGGCTTTTAGCATAACGCATAGAACAATAACTGCATAAAAAGTCATTATTTGCAAAAAGACATGTCATTGTATGGCTGAAAATATTTTTCTGTTTTTATTGAATATTAGCTTATATGTTTAGTAATGTGTGTGTTTAATTTTTTTTATTTAATGTTCGTTTCACTTCCACAAATTACTTTCTTAGCAGATGCTTGACAAAAGCAACGTTCGTTTTCAAAGAATTAAAATCTCTTCTTAGCAGAATGCATTTAAAATCAGAATATATGAACTATAACACTGCAGATGTTTCAAGAACGCGAACACAAAATAATGCCAAAGCTGTTTAATATTAAATTCCGCCTCGCATTCTGAAATACAAACGATTCAAATCAAGGATATCAATGAAATCAACACACAGAGGAGGAACCTGAGGGTAATCAGAATGGCATAACCTAACCAAAATGATTTTTTTTTTTTTATAGAAATAATCATATAAAGAGTCATTAAAAACATCCATGACAAACAAAATCCGGAAAGTGAAATAAAACCGCAGATTTGTGTTAAGGATCTACTGTTAAGCTGCACAAACTAAAACCGCTTTAATCTAGTGAACTCAAAATAAAGAGTGTCCACCGATTCTCTTCAAGAAGGATGTTTATCTCTTCATCATGTGACTTTACTTTTCTCAAGCACAGGAATGAATACAAACGGATGCAAATAAATAAATGAGCTTGTGAGAAGCGCTGGTTGACCTAACGCCTGGCGTTCAGTCACAGATTGTAACAGTGATTTGCTGAGAGGAACAGACTGTGAAAGCTGAAGCAGTCCTCCGCTCTGGGAACACACTGGCTCAGATGCTCCTGGTTCGGCCGCTGTGTTGCGTTACAAAGGGACGTGACTGAAGAGATACGACACTGACTCGCCGTTGTGGGTCCTGCGGATGGCCTCGGCAAGGATCATGGAAATGTCGATGACCTGCGGAGATCAGCCAGCTTAGCATGAAAGAGAATCTGCATCATACCAAGCCAAACGGAGAAGACAGCTCTGTATCACACGGCATGCAGGTTGTTCTGTTTCTACTCCTCTAAATCCTCTAAACCTGTGACTGTGTTTCTCGGCTGATTCTTGATGCGATCGCAGGCAGCAAAGTTCTGTGATCTCTGTGATCTAATATTTAACGAGTTTTAAAATGGTATAGATTAGGGATGCACCGAAATGAAAATTCCTAGCCTGAGCCGAACAGAATGAAACACTGGGCCGACTACCAAACATTGTTTTTCGCGGTTTTTTCCCCATGCATTTTGGCTATTATTTTTTTACCATTGCAGAAATTAAATACCCAAATTTTACTTTGTACTGTTTTTGTCTTGAAGGGAAAAGGGAAAAAAAAAATCAATTACAAAAAAAACTATTTAAAAATAGTTACTTAACACTGAACTCTAAACATTAAACATTCTAGCAGACATTACACCAACAAAGCACAATTTAACTTAACATTAATAAGTTAGTAAAATAATTGTTTTGGTAATATTTGAGACCCGCGTCTTGACTCAGGCATGTATTTTTTACTGTACAAATAAAAGCAGCCTTGCTGAGCAGAAGAGACTTCTTTTAAAACATTAGAAAATATTACAGATCCCAGATACAAATCTATTACAGATTTGAACACTGTGTGAATGTTATAATACATGTATTAATAGAGCTGTTGTCATTATTATTGTCTTTTTAATTTTATTTTACAAAACAACGGTAAAATTACAATACTAACATTTATGAATGTTAATGAAGCTTGTATTTTGGCAGGAAGTCCCCAGTGCTTCTTTTTGTTGACAGCAGCAGATGAGCCCAGCCTTGACAAGAAGAGCGTGCCGCTGCAGAGCCCTGTCACTCTAGGCGAAGAGCTCCAGTGGTGGCCTGATAAGGTGGGCCTTTATGCCTTCAATATCCTAGAATAAGAAACTTCAGATTAGGGATGCACCGACCGAAATGAAAATTCTTGGCAGAAGCCGAACAAAATGAAACACTGGGCCGAATACCGAACACGGTTTTTGGCATTTTTTTTTGTCCCATGTATTTTGCCAGTTCTTTTCACCATTACATAATTGAAATACCCAAATTTTGCTTTTTACTGTTTTGTCAGAAAATATTTCAGATCCCACAGATACAAATCTATTACCGATTTGAACTCTATGTGTGAATGTTATAATAAATGTATTAATATAGCTGTTGTAATTATTATCATTATTATTATTGTCTTTTTTATTTTATTTTACAGAACAACAGTAAAATTACAATACTAACATTAATGAATGTTGATGGAGCTTTTTTGGCAGAAACCCCCAGGAAGACCTCAGTGCTTCTTTTTGTTGACAGCAGCAGATTTATAAATGATTCTCATTAAGAATTTTTAAGCATTGATAACATTTATTGACTATATTTTGAGATAAAGGTCTCGCTAATGATTTTCAGTTTTGTTCAAGGAAATTAAATCAACAGTTTTTCAATAATTCAGTTACATATACACAAGTATGGTATTCGTGGTAAAATGCACCCCTGCTGTTGGGACTAAAAGAATAATTGTCATTATAATATATACCTTGCTGACTTTTCCATTTCTTTTCCATAATATTTATTAAACTGGGCGGCCGATTTAGAGATAATTAGTGTATTTATAATGAAACTATTACATTTTAAAATATGATATTAATATATTTACTTTTTTTTATATATATTTATATCTTAGCCACTAGAATTTTTCTATATCTTTATCAAAATAAACCGAAAAATGTACAAACTTTTTCATGAACAAGTATTAACTTTTTGGCATCATGCAATACATATTACCCTAGCTTAAGTATTTTTTACCAATACTGGGTCTCTTTTACTCCTCACCACTGTATACATTTATAAGATTTCTAAACACAAACCACTTTTGTCTACAAAACACGCTCTTTCAATGTTCAATTTTTAAAAAATTACAAAAAGAAAACATGATGAAAGTAGTAAAAAGTAATATATTGTCATTATAGTGTTACTTTAGCCCTTTAAGGAAAATAAAATAAAATGCATCTTTTGCATCTCCTGTGTAAAACACCTTAAAAATAACATTTAAAAAATAACTAAACAGTTTTGCCGTTATTGGACTAAATTCTCTTCACTTTGGGGGGAAAAAAAGACTATTCTATGCTGCTTCAATACAGACACAGAATTATGGGATGATATTAGACTCTAAATGATTAATAGATGCACGCACAATTATCCATGTACTGCATACATTTTATACATGTATCTTACTAACCACAAACAAATACCTTTCAATTTGAGTCTGTGGAATTCGGGATTAAATGATTGTGCAGCGATTTGTACAAATACAGACTTGTTTGTGAATAAAAATGTTCTGTTCTGCATTAATATATCATAAATTGCTCATGCAAAAAGGAATCCGTGCATATGTGGATCAGGTGACACGCGTGCATTAACTGACGTCATTTGGATTTTGAGACTTAATTTTCGCAGTTTACAGCATTTCACGTCCCTCACACACACAACTACCAACGAACAAGGCCCAGTGCAATTCATTAACGTGTACACGATTTGAAAAAATCGCAAATGTGCGTCACTACACTAAAACAAATGCTTTTCAACCGGTGTCTGCAGAGTTAAGAATTACATTAATGTGCAGCATTTTGTTCAAATAGACAGATTTGTTAATACAATGTTATAGTTTGTATTAAAGTATCATAATTTGCGCATGTAGCGATTAAAATGTGCATTTGTGGTTCAGGCGACGCGCGTGCATTCATTCACGTCTCTTCTGAGTCGATTCTATTTGATTCAATTGAATTTTGAGACTTTCCGTTCCGTCACGTTTTTATTCGCAAACATGTCTGTATTTGTACAAATCGCTGCACAATCATTTAATCCTGAATTCCACAGACTCAAATAGAAAGGCATTTGTTTGTGGTTAGTAAGATATATGTATAAAATGTATGCAGTACATGGATAATTGTGCGTGCATCTATTAATCATTTAGAGTCTAATATCATCCCATACAGAATACAGTGTTTCCTGTTGAACACAAGCATCCTGACGGGACAAACCTGTATTTTGGGACAATGCTTCATCTTCTCCTCCTGGGGAATTGTGTTGGTCACAACTACAGCCTCAAAGCAGGCGTTGTTGATGCGTGAGATGGCTGGTCCAGAGAAGATGCCATGGGTGAGGATAGCATACACTTTAACCGCTCCTGCTGATATTAACCTGAACACACACAGGGACACACACAGACAGACAGACACAAACACACACACACACACACAAACAGACACACACACACACACAGGGACACACACACAGGGACACACACACACAGACAGACACAAACACACACACAGACAGACAGACACACACACACACAGAGACACAGACACACGCACACAAACAGAGCGTTACAGCTGCTGAAGCACTCACACTGTTTCACACAAGACAGCACACTTTATTAATATTTTCATTAGCCTCTCACTTGTCAACAGCGTGGCAGACGGTGCCGCAGGTGTCTGCCATATCATCCACCAATATGGCCACCCGGTCTTTCACATCTCCCACCAGAACCATGCGGTCCACCTCGTTGGCCTTCTTCCTTTCTTTGTGAATCAGGGCAAAGTCAACATTTAGCCTGTCTGCAATGGAGGTGACCCTGTCGATGGAGAAACACAGCTCAGGGATCAGCCACGACTCACACTAAACAGGCAGTGAAGCGGACGCCTCCAGACCTCTTGGCTCCTCCAGCGTCAGGAGACACGATGATGCAGTTCTTCCACTCGGGGATGTTCTCCTTAATCCACTTCAAAACGGCAGGCTCTGCATACAAGTTGTCCACTGGAATGTCAAAGAAACCCTGAAGGAAGAAAGCAGCAACTCCAAGATCAAAACAGAACAAGTCATCTTTTGAAAATAACCAGCGCTTCAATTAATGTCTGTGTCGATTGCATCATTTCACCACTAGGAGGCGACAGGGGGCTGTTAAAAATGAGTTTGTCATTGAATCATTCATTCCAGAGATTTGTTCAAAAACACTGATAAAACGGATAGTTCTGGTCCTTGATTCTGATTGGCTGAGCCGCGTTCGAAGCTGTTGTAAATTACTCTACAAACATACACCTTTGTTTACTTCTGTGTGTTGCTCAACAACCACTTTGTTGGAACCACAACCGTTTCTGAGGAACTACATTGTTTGGTGGAAGAATACTGTTTTTATTAATATCATTACACTTTATTTGCTCCGTTTTATTTTGTGAACTAACTACGTATATGGAATAACCGTTTTATAAAAGCAATAAGCCCCGTGAAGCCGTGGTTTACAGTGAATTTATAACAGCTAAGGGAGGTTTTAGCTTCGCGTCGTGCCTAACAACACCCCTCAGCTATTATAAAATTAACTGTAAACCACGGCTTCACGGTGCTTATTGCTTTATTCCCAACTTATCCAGAATCGTGCAGCTCTAATACGTAGGTACAAAACTTACAAAGATTGCATATTTTTCCCATCAAGAAAAACAAGTCATGTTTGCAATGCAATCAGCACATTTTCTTCTGTTTTGTGTGTGTGTGTGTGTGTGTGTTGTATCACTAGATCCTTTGGAGTGCAGTAAAACCCACCTGTATTTGAGATGCATGCAGGTCCATGGTTATGATGTGGTCAGCACCAGAAACTGACAGCATATTTGCCACCAGCTTGGCAGAAATGGGCGCCCGACTCTGCAGAAAACAAAGGAGAAGATCAAACATCTTGAGTGAAAAAGCAAAGTGACACACGCTACCGACTTCCTATCAACAGCATGCACAAAAAATCTCCTCCTTTAACGTTCACTGACAGGCAATGGCACAGATTTCATAGCCTTTGCCCCACCTTGTCCTTCTTATCCTGCCGGGCGTAAGGGAAGCATGGGATGACCGCTGTGACTCGGGAGGCCGATGCGATTTTGCAGGCGTTTATCATAATCAGAAGCTCCATCAGGTTATCGTTGATTTCTCCACAGCCGCTACACACACAGGGACACACAGACAGACACAGACACACACAGGGACACACACAGACAGACAGACACAAACACACACACACACACACAAACAGACACACACACACACACAGGGACACACACACAGGGACACACACACACAGACAGACACAAACACACACACAGACAGACAGACACACACACACACAGAGACACAGACACACGCACACAAACAGAGCGTTACAGCTGCTGAAGCACTCACACTGTTTCACACAAGACAGCACACTTTATTAATATTTTCATTAGCCTCTCACTTGTCAACAGCGTGGCAGACGGTGCCGCAGGTGTCTGCCATATCATCCACCAATATGGCCACCCGGTCTTTCACATCTCCCACCAGAACCATGCGGTCCACCTCGTTGGCCTTCTTCCTTTCTTTGTGAATGAGGGCAAAGTCAACATTTAGCCTGTCTGCAATGGAGGTGACCCTGTCGATGGAGAAACACAGCTCAGGGATCAGCCACGACACACACTAAACAGGCAGTGAAGCGGACGCCTCCAGACCTCTTGGCTCCTCCAGCGTCAGGAGACACGATGATGCAGTTCTTCCACTCGGGGATGTTCTCCTTAATCCACTTCAAAACGGCAGGCTCTGCATACAAGTTGTCCACTGGAATGTCAAAGAAACCCTGAAGGAAGAAAGCAGCAACTCCAAGATCAAAACAGAACAAGTCATCTTTTGAAAATAACCAGCGCTTCAATTAATGTCTGTGTCGATTGCATCATTTCACCACTAGGAGGCGACAGGGGGCTGTTAAAAATGAGTTTGTCATTGAATCATTCATTCCAGAGATTTGTTCAAAAACACTGATAAAACGGATAGTTCTGGTCCTTGATGGCTGAGCGCTGAGCCGCGTTCGAAGCTGTTGTAAATTACTCTACAAACATACACCTTTGTTTACTTCTGCTCAACAAGAATACTGTTTTTATTAATATCATTACACTTTATTTGCTCCGTTTTATTTTGTGAACTAACTACGTATATGGAATAACCGTTTTATAAAAGCAATAAGCCCCGTGAAGCCGTGGTTTACAGTGAATTTATAACAGCTAAGGGAGGTTTTAGCTTCGCGTCGTGCCTAACAACACCCCTCAGCTATTATAAAATTAACTGTAAACCACGGCTTCACGGTGCTTATTGCTTTATTCCCAACTTATCCAGAATCGTGCAGCTCTAATACGTAGGTACAAAACTTACAAAGATTGCATATTTTTCCCATCAAGAAAAACAAGTCATGTTTGCAATGCAATCAGCACATTTTCTTCTGTTTTGTGTGTGTGTGTGTGTGTGTGTTGTATCACTAGATCCTTTGGAGTGCAGTAAAACCCACCTGTATTTGAGATGCATGCAGGTCCATGGTTATGATGTGGTCAGCACCAGAAACTGACAGCATATTTGCCACCAGCTTGGCAGAAATGGGCGCCCGAGACTGCAGAAAATGAGTTGAAATGAACAAAACGATGATCCACACCAGCTACTTGCACAAAAACTCTCCTCCTTCCACTTTCACTGACAGGCAACGGCACAGACTTCACTTAGAGACAGACAGCCCACCTTGTCCTTCTTGTCCTGCCGGGCGTAAGGGAAGCAGGGGATGACCGCTGTGACTCGGGAGGCCGATGCGATTTTGCAGGCGTTTATCATAATCAGAAGCTCCATCAGGTTATCGTTGATTTCTCCACAGCCGCTCTGGACGATGTACACATCCTCTCCACGGACACTCTCTCCGATCTCCACACTGCAGAAACACATCTCTGTTAGTACAGCACTCACTCTACTTCCACCAATAAAGCTCTGCTAGCAAATACAACATTCATTCCTTTTACAATATTAAAGCTGCAACAAACAAAAAAAGCCTTTTCTTAAATTGACAACGCACTGTAATAATATAATGTAATCTTGGAGTAACATGTAAATAAAGGTCTATTTGTATATGTATTACCAGTGTTGGGAAGTATCTAGTTACTAGTTCCCAACACTGTGTATTAGCATATGGAAACATGACTGACACATTAACACACCGCTGTATTTGTTTTGTAAAGGTACACTGCAGGACGAAAGCATGTTATGAAAGCAAACAACCGAAGAATGTCTCAGGGTCACTGCATTATTTAAGCATAACGCCGCCGGCGTCAGAAAGCAGAGAAATAATTATTCCCCTAAATACACACTAAGGCCTTGTGATAACACTTACCTGACCCACCAGACTATGATTAAAGACATCATGTGGGGAGTATAAGTGAAGCCATCATGGCATAAAGGTTTTTGGTAAAGGTATAAGCTCGGAGGCTACTTACGGCGTTATGTATTTCCATTCCTAAATACGTGTCTAAATGCTGTTTAATGGCAATATTAGTCACAAAATGTACGTCCAAACTGAAGCAAATAGACATCGCCTCGCGTGCAGATGCACAGCCTTCTGGGAGTTGTAGTTTTCTGAAACACACGCGGCGCGCTGGCAGCCACCGTCTGAACTACAACTCCCAGCGGCCCGCGGAAACAAACGGCACTCCAACACGTTAGAAGTACAAACCTAAAACACGCTCGGATCATTTCCAGAAATGACTCACCACGTCTCTTGGTTGCTGAACTTTTTCGTCACCACTTTCCCCAGCTCCAGCCCGAGACGGTCCGCGACCTTCTGAGACAGATCCTGGTGCGAGCTGCCGCTGAAGATCTTGATGTTAGGCATGTTTCTGTTAGTTCCGCGAAGACCAGAGAGAGTGCACGAGGAGACGGGGTGTTTGAGCGTGAGCCGGAGAATGGTGACTCGAGCAGATATCTGCTATCCGATGTCGAGTTTACCGGTAAAGTGAGTCGCCACTACCTTTCCGCCATAGTGGATTCTGGACGTTACGCGCGTGACGTCACAGACACGCCTCTTCTTCTTCTTCTGCGACTCCAACTCCGCCTCTATCTATCTATCTATCTGTCTGTATAAACTTTAAACTGTTTTAAACATAGATATATTGGCCTATCTTCTTATGCCAACATCAAAGTTTGTCTTGACAAACTTTTTTTTTTTTTTTTTACCTAATTACGCTTTAAGCGTTTTCCTCTCGTAGAAACCCGTTATAAGGAAAACGTACGGTGGCAGAGAAGTGCAAAGCAAATCACAATTCTGAAGACAAAATAACAAATTACAAACGCAAATGCAAGTCTAAGAAACAAAATAACAAGTCAGAAAACACAACGACAAATCAGACAAACCGGAAGAGGTAGGTATAGTTTGAGACAGCGCCATTGGTTTGGGATTACTCACCGCTGACTGGACGAGACATCTGTCAATCAACGTATACAGGAAGAACCAGCCGAAGAACAGCAGAGTCGTGGTAGAAAGTTCGGAGATGGTATTAAAGTAGCTCAGTTTTAATGTATTGTATGAATTGCCCTTACTCTGGAATAAAACATACGGAGTGTATATTTACATTTAGTTAAAAGTGGCTGCAAAGCATCAGCTCCAGTGGCGCAGATGGATAAGCGCGTGTTGGCACAGTCTCACAATGACTTAGCTGAAGGAGTTTGTGGGAAAACACTTCTGTCAAAGCAGGCTTGCACTGATTTCATCAAGCTCCTGTCAGCTACAGGTGATCAGTGTTTCAGTAACAGTGTGGTCCTTATGTACCTATGAAATATGTGAACTGTTCTAACATCTAGATATAGAGATACTTGCATAATAATGCCAGTAGATTAGAGCAGTGTTTCCCAACCAGCTTCCTAGGATTAAACATTATTTGGATAATTGGTAAAAAAAAAACCCTACTGCTAGACCTACCTGAAAAACTAAAAACCAATTTATTTAATTCGAAGGGCTGTCGTTATTTTTTATTTGTGCTATCATTATTCATTTCTTTATTTGTTCTTTTATTACTGACTGCTTACTTGTCATTTTTTATTCAAT